TGAGTTATTATTAACCCTGGCGGCTGATTGGCCGCCGGCCGGGTCAGCCAGAACCATGTAGGGTGACTGGGTCTCATTCTCAGTTCCGGTTCGGGGCGCAGCGGCAGGTAAACCTGGACTTCATGTTTCTGTCGGAGCCTCTGAATCCCAGAACCCGCTTTAGACGTAGGTTGGAATAAAAACCAGAGGGCAAACGTGAAGGTTGGGATGTTATGAATATTATTTTCCTCACACAGTGGCGTCACTTCCTGTTAAAGGGTCATCGCCTGTTTTCGTGCATTAAAACCAGATTAGTGACAGTAAAGCTATCGGCAGTTTAATCTGAGCTGCTGGAACAAAGGAGCTCTAACTTCTGATTTCTGGTTTCCTCCCTCAGCTCACCTGGAACTCACCTGTTGGTGACTGTTGCGCCCTGCCAGGCGCTCCTGATGGCGCTCTCCCAGGTCACGCCCTCCCTGTTCCTGAGCGGGGCCGACGCGCCCCTGAACGGCGCCCTGATGTCACAGAAAGGCATCACGCTGATAGTGAACGCCACGCTGAGCCACGCCCTCCCTTCCCACCCGGGCGTGGAGTGTCTGCGCGTCCCCGTCTGCGACCTGCCCTGCGAACCCCTCGGCCTGCACTTCGACCGCGTGGCCGAGCGTATCCATGGCAACCGCGCCGGAGGCACGCTGGTGCATTGCGCAGCGGGGAGGAGCCGCTCGCCGGCGCTGGTCATGGCGTACCTGATGAGGTTCCGCGGCGCCACGCTGCGCCAGGCTCACCGCCGCGTCCTGGAGAGCCGGCCCTGCATCCGCATCAACGCCGGCTTCTGGGAGCAGCTGCTGCAGTACGAGAGGAGGCTGTACGGCCGCAACACGGTCCGGGTGGAGCCCGAGGGGGCGGGGCCTCTGTGGGCGGGGCCAGAGGGGCCGCGCCGGGCCGCTCCATCTGTACTCAGATCTCCTGTGATGACGCGCTCTCAGGTGATTATGTCACCACATAAATTAATAAGAGAATCTACCGTGTCATCAAAGAGCAACAGAATAATTTACAAACCGCTGTGAGTGTGTGGAGCTACATTACCTGGACAGGTGTGGAGCAACTGGTGTTCACCTGGCCAGCAGCCTGGACCACCAGAACCAGTCTGGGGACAGGAAGTGAGTCTGTTCTGCTTGGTTTTGCTGTCAATCAATAAATAATTTCCATCAGAGCGTCTCCTTGCTGTTCCTCACCACCACCAGCAGGGGGCAGTGAGGCCTCAGGGGAGGCGACCTGTAGAA